GAAGGTGGGAATTTCTTTCCTTCTGGAAGAAACTGGTTGAGTGGTTAAAAAAAAGTCTTTGTCACTTGCCTTGGTTGAGCAGGACTTTGAGCATATCAACCTGGGACACCCTGACTGACTACAGTGAGTTCTGTTTCTTCAGCTCTGTATTTGATGTAAATATTTCCTTACTCCATTTGCAAATGGAGAAGTGAGAAACAAATAAAACAATGTTTCTAGTCAGGCTCAGTAATGTTTCATTCTTTCTCCACTTCCTAACCTCAGAAAAGCTAAAATCCTTCATTAAAATAATAAATGAGGGTTTGAGACAGCCTTAGGTAAGGGAAAAGGTAATGATTTCCATACTAGCCTGAGCTTTAGGATGTCAGTACCACTGCCTAAAATTATCTCTCAAAGTATTTTCCCAGACACTTGCAAGATGGGCCCTGTAACACTCCCCCATTCCAGGGGGGTGCTATGAAGGGGGATGAGATAAAGACTCTGCAGCTGCTCTGGTATTCTTGCCAAGGAGCTGATTAAAACCTGGGGAAAAAGAACAATGAGAACAATTCAAACACTTTGCTAATCTACCTCCCTGCAAACAAGCTGGGAAAGAGAGAAATTCAGAGAGAAACAAAGTTCTTCCAAACTTTTTTTTGGTAATACTTAACAAAACAAAAATTAGGGACTGGATGAGTGTATCTAAACAATACCAGGCAAATATTGGATGACAACTCCATGTGTCTACATGCACTTATAAAGAACAAATGAATTGACAGACTTGAAGAAACACTAAGACACATCCCATCTGTGAAGTGTGACCCTATTCAAACCCCAGCTGCTAAGCTGAGAACTGAGGGTCTCACCACACCTGCTGTGCCAGACCAACGTGTGGCTACATTTTTACAACATGAAGCAGATTTACACACCAATCTGTTTCTAGGCAGATCAGGTCCAACCTTTACCCGTTTAGTAAGTTATGTTTACCTAAAACAGCCTAATCTCACCCCACAGTCAGGTCTAACCATGCAAAGGAAAAAGCTCATACCTCTTCTCTCTCTCCTATGAGATCAGTTTTACTATCAGCTCATCCTGAAGTGTCTTGTTGAATTAGTTTGAGCTACAAGTTTTCACTTAAAAAGCCTTAATTCATAAAGCATTTCTGCAAAACAATTTACAAGAGGTAGCAACACCACTACCTCATTGGTAGCATTCTCAACAGCTCTTTCCTTGCTGGTTTCAATCATTTTATCCTGCATTTTCACAGAATCACAGATTATTAGGGGTTGGAAGGGACCTCTGGAGATCATCTAGTCCAACTCCCTGCCATTTTCACATTATACTGGAGCTTTGGTCTACATTCTGCCCTGTTCCTGTAACCCAGGCTGTCAGACACTGCCTCCCAAACCTAAATCCTCTTCCAATGATTTTGACTGTCTCTGCCCTTGCACAGGCAACTCCCCCTCCAGCTCTTTAAAGTTATTTTACAATGAGAAGGTGAAGGGATCTGGCTGCAACATCTCTTGTTGTTTCCCCACAAAAGGCCACATATTTGCAAGGGATGAATTTCCTTGAAAATGCATTTTCTCTGGCACAGTAGTTGAACATGGCATATGACACACACTAAGATGAAATGTTTAAACATTGAACAGACAACCAGCAGAAGCGTTTTTCTGTATTTTACTCCCTGAAAGATATACTGTTCTTTCAAATGAAATGGTTATTTCATGATCTACAGGTTAAATATTTATTGCTAGTTGTACTGCTGTGAGAGCCTACAGAGGTCAACCGTGTAGCAGAAACCAGGATACAGGTATTTAAAACATCAGAAAGCATTTCAGTAATTCCTCACAACAGAAGCCACATGGAAACCTAATGCAGGAGAAACAGAGCAAAATAATAGATACTCTAAGCAATGTAGAATGGTTACATTTGGGCATTACTAACTGCTGACGTTACTAACAGCAGTGCTCCTCTGTGCAGTGCTGCACTGAGACCCTGGTCCTGCAGGGAGATGAACACAGCTAAAGCCCTCCTGACACCACAGGTGAATGTGGGAAGCAGTGTGTTTGTTTTCTGGGTTTGGTTTGTTGGTTGTTTTTTCAGCAGTCTACATTTGCACAGGAAATCAACACCTAGAAAAGAAAAAAAAAACAGAACACTGAGAATTGCACTTACTCTCCTAAATACAGCACAAAATCCACTGCACGGTGGGGGCTACTGATGGTTGACCTCTAGTTCAGAATCACAGAACATCATGGATCCCTTTTAACCCCAATGCCAAACCCAGGAAGCTTTGGGATGCCTCCTACCTCTGGAGATGCTCTCCCTGCTGATCCTCCAACCTGCACCCTGCAGGCCCCAGTTCACACAGCACCCCAGGGCACACAACCTTCAGGACCCAGGGTGCACCCAGGCATAGTAAACCCAGATACACACTAACCCCCACACCCCTGCCTGCAGCAGCCACCCCCTGCTGCTTCTAGCTCTGGTTCCACAGCCTTGAAAGAAACAAATTGAAAATCTCCTATTTGAAGGTAACTGGAGCCTTCGTTCATACATTCTAGCAGCTCCTAGCAGTTTCAGTGCTCCAAAGAAAGGACTTTCACGGCAATATTGCTGCCTGTATATCCTGTTCTCTCTTTAGACCATGTATATCATGTAAAAGAAAGGCCAGTTAGTGGACAAATTCTCCTGCCTGCCAATTCCTGGACAACATCATGGCAGCCAGAAGCTATGAGGGCCTGGCTTTTCACTGGGTATAATCAAGCTATTGAAAACCACATGAATGCCACTGAGCTCTGTTAGCAGCTTCCAGCTTCTTACTCACTATCAGCCAGGTGTCATCGTCACTTCTGTATCTGCATTCATGTCATCAGTGTCTCTAAAACACAGATCTTGGTGGTCTGATTTTGGTTCTTAGATCTGTAGATGAGCAAAGGAATGGATCACCCAAACTACACATTAAGGTTGGCTGCAAAGTGCATATGAAGTATCAGTAGAACTGTCCTCCCTCTGTACCATTGTAACTAATACCACCAGCCAGCATAAGCCTATTAAGGAATTAATTTTAAAAGCATATTCAACTGTTCTGTTTGTGAACCACTGCCACTGAAGTATGTTTTAGAAATACACCAAATACACTGAGCTGCTGTGATTCAGCATTTGCTACACAACCAGCAAAGCCACCTCTGCAGGAGGCCTGAAGGCTGAGGGAACCAGAAGGGGCAGCTTGGGGCACACACCAGAATAAGCACCTACTCTTCTTTAGTTGCTACCCCGAGTTTCATGTTGATTGCCCTCAAGATGAGGAACACCTCACAGGCAGATACATCCATGAGAAGTTTGCTTCAAACCATCAGACTGACTTCACCAAGGAGCCCTCCAGCACAGGCAGTGACACAGCACAGCTCTCCAAAGCAAGACTGAGCTTCCTTCACCAGCTCTTCCTTCCACACAGTCCCACGACTGATTCCTCTTCCAGTTCAGGTCAGCTGTAGCCAGCACTGCATCCCAGATGGAAACCTATACCTCAAGAATGTTTGTTAAGTTTTCCAATGTACAACATTCTTTATAATCAGCTCCATCAGACATTAATCTTCTCCACAAGACAAACATTTCCCTTTGCACCCTACTGATAAGCTACCAAGAGAAGGCAGAAACCAAACCACATTTTTTGCACTGAGACCTTCATAACCAGATGTAAGTATCAGGGCAGCAGTGAGAAGGGAAGGAGCTGAGAGCAACTCCAGCTCTGCTGGGGAG